ATATTATAATACACCAGCATGTAAAAATCCAACTTTTTAAACCTCAAAATATCACTTTTATTTCTGCAATTATTATTATTTTTTTAAAATATAGGACAGAACAGTTAATTATTTTAAAATCAAAATTGCAATTTGAACAAATGTATGCAGTTGCAGTTTATGCTAAACGAGGTCCGATCAGTAGACAATGAGGTTAATTCTGCAGTTACATTTAAACTAAATCTCATCAGACTGAACTGTCAGGGGGCGTTCAATAGCCACACGTCATATATATTTTGCAGCACCTCTGACCCACAGTTTATAGTGTCATGTCAGTGGTTTTACAAATTCATGCTGTCCTCCTTTTGTGACTTTTTTTCTGGTGCATTATGTGGCGATGCTCCATCATGTTTTAAATCTATTATAAAGTGAATATTTAACTGAGATACAACTTATATGTAAAGGTGATATCACAAATCAGATTGCAGAATGTGCAATTACACATTCCCAACACATCACTCAACCCTGGTTTTCCCTCAGTAACACAATGACCCACACTGAAGCACAAACGAAGCGCATGTTCACGTCCCGTTTTACACCTGGATTTATTGATACACATACTATAAAACAGTAGTAAAGGAGCTGGATAACAACAGTATTTTCATTGCTATAAGTCCAACAGTACAATATAAATACAAAAACACGCACAGAATGTCTGTTGACAAGCTACAATTCAAATAGAAAACAAAGAGGAGATACAGTAGAAACCGAGGAAATTAAATCAGTGATGTCGCTCTGCAAAAATAATCTGCTTTTTTGACAAACTCGAGAGCCAAAGGTTACATGTAGTCACACAACAGAAACATTCAACTAGTGCAAAAAAGCCTCTAACGTAATATTCTTAAACTACACGTTATCTAATATATATAATATATATTCATTTATTTATATATACCTTCATATAAATAACCCCTTAATTTGGCATTTTATCATTCATAAAATAATTTAAACGTCCTAAACAGACACTGAGTGGCACATTTGAAAGCGATGGAATAAAATTTAAAAGCACTTTTACTCGTTTATCTCTGCACTAGATATGTGGTGAGAGCTTTATAGTGTGTCGTGTGGTGCGGTTAAGGGCAGACTGGAAAACAGAGGAGAAACAAACAAAACCCAGCGGTTGATAAATGTCTGTTTTTGTTTTTTTTTGTTGTTTTTTTTTTTCCTTTTTCCTCCCCAAACGTCCGACAGACCCACTCTATCCCCCGAGCCCTTGAATGACAGAACACAACTGGTCGGAAAGTAAATTAAACTACATACATTCCAGTATATACAAGAACATCCCGTCTACCCTTCACATGTAATACAGCAGAATAAAACAGAAAAAAAACAACAAATCTTTAAAAAGGCCAAAATACCTACAGGTGCTTTAATCCCCTTGTTTTTCAGTTTTTATATTATTCTAAGACATTTTTTTTGCCGATTGTTGTTGGTGCATTAGATCATGTTTCTCTCTCTGCAGTGGCTTTTTGTCCAGCAGTGACATTAGGGCTGCTTTCTCAAACCAACTGTAGTCTCCGGTGTGTGTGTGTGTGTGTGTGTGTTGCAGCAGCACAGACGTTGCCACAAATCTGCTGTAATTATTCAGTCTGATCTCCCAAACAGGGGAAACTCTGAGGATTACAAGCGGAGGTTGCCAAGGTGCAATCAAGAAGCTATTAAGGGAGCACTTGACTCCAACAATGCCTTTAATAAGTGACGAGACGGGGTTTGACTTCTGTCGGCTTACGTTGGCGACGGCGACGGGCCGGTCAATTAAAAGAACGTACTTGCAGCAAAAGTGTGGATTAATTCTGTTGGCAGAGTCGTGCGGGAGCAGATTTGGCTCGGTTCTCAAAAGAGTTTTAAGTGCACAACCTCTGAATGCAGATAATTGAATAAGGGCTCGTCCACATGTACACGGGTGTCACTTCAAACGGAGACTTCTCCACCAGCTTCTACGTCTGCTGCATGCCCTCGGACGTCTACTGGGAGGCTTCGTTTGACGTCATTTCACAGAGGATTCAGTAATTTCTGTTCACAAGTTCAGCTTGCAACTCGAATATTTATAATTTCAACAGGCTTCCAACAGTTAAACGAACAACCCCACCATCACCTCCAATGTTGACATTTAAAGTGCTCGCTTTGTCAATCCAACAACTTGGTTTCAGCTTGGTTAGTTCTGATAGTCGAATGCCTGATTTCACTCCTGATAGGTTTAGATGTAGTCACAGAAAACTGAGCTTTCAAAGTTTGTAGTATCGACATGCAGACTGAGGAGAAACTGAGTCTTTGGTTTGTGATCGTCTCGTTTGTTTACGTGAGGCGACTCGTTGCAGTGGTTTACATGTAAGGTTGTTCTTCCACTATATTGAGGAGCAGAGGTGTTGGAACAAGTCCACACATATGATTCCCTCCTTCCTCCATGAATCATTGTAGCTGGGTTCTGATTGGCCGATGTGGCTTCAGGGTTTTCTTGCTTCTTGTTGTTTTGTCTCTTGACAGCATTTCAGTTGTTCTTTTGTGGATGGAATTTTAATTTTTTTTAAAGGCGGAAAAATATTTTTCAAAAATACCCGTGTACATGTGGACTAGGCCTTCATCTCACTGGTAGACGTCTGGTTCATCAACCACTGGCGTCTACCAAAGGTGTAGCGAAACACCAACTTTAGTTAAAGGTCATAAAAATGTTGGTTCTGTTCACTGTTGTATTTTGACCGTTGTCTTTTTTTTGGTTAATATTCAAGCAAAATTCCTAATTGAGAACGGTGTACGCCTTAAACGAGGCCTTTTTTGCATAGTTTTCATGATTTGAGCCCCAAATTGGGAGAACAGAAAGTTGTTTTCGAGAATAAAGTATAAATGTCTGTCGTGTCATTTTCAAGTGCAAGTCTTGTGTGTCGACCGCCAATCAAAGTGAACTTCTGGTCCTCGTGATCCCTTTATAGCGTTCCCACTCAACAAGATCGTTATTAGCCTTTTCATAGTAACGTTGTTTAACAACAAAAACAAGTCGATAATGTGAAGTCAAACATGTTGCATTGTAGGTTCGGTGGAGGTTTGCCACTCTTTCATACAGTGATTTTCATTTTATTTTATTTTTTAAATACATTCTTACTGAAAAACAGAAACCCTACAGTAGTGCACCGCTACATTTTCCACTTTTTTCTTCTTTTTTCTTTTTTCGACGGCCTATCACGTACAAAGTGCTCAGGACAGGACTGGTGTGTAGCGTACAGTGTATTTCACAAAGTTTATTCATTTTTGTGCTGAAATGACATTAAATCTTATACATAGTCGTCTCCCCTCTTACAGCTGTTTCTGGAGCGGGTAGTTGATTTAAAAAACAAAAAAAAAGAGAAGAGAAAAAAAAAAGAAAGGAAAAGAACTTAAAAAGGGAACAGATATCTGCTTTATCTGAACCGTGGTGTGTGTGTCTGTGTGTGTGTTAGTGTGTGTGTGCGTGTGCTTGTATCCACCAATAGCTGCAGCTTTTGTTGCCCATTTTGATGCAGAGAACATCGAAGGTGACAGACAATTTAGATCTACATACGGCGGAGGAGGGGATGACTCTGTGTCGCTTCGTCTCCGAGGTAACGTCTCCCGTCTCGATAAGTGGTTAAGCCCCCCGTCAAACAGTGATAAGCACCGACGGCTCAGTGGCACAGAGTTAGTGGGCGGGATAGAGGTGCAGGAAGAGGTGGGCGACTGCGAGTTTGTGAGTGAACGTGAAGCGAAACGTTAGTCAGACGATGACGTAGGCGGGGTTTTTTCGTCTCAGGACCGTAGAGGGCTCTCGGTGGCGGAGTGTTTTCTGCACCTGTGTGTGTGTGTGTTTAGGTGAGTGTGTGTGTGTGTGTCAGTGCGCTTTGTGTTTTCGGTCTCAGTCGCTCACACCACCGTGGCAGGTCTGCGGTCCATCTCCTCCTCCAGCTTCACCATCTGCTGCATGTCCTTGGCCTTGGAGAAGACGGGAAAGAAGTCAAACGCATGTAGACGCAGCGTGAGGTTCAGTTGTGTGTCTACGGGGGACATTTCACAGAGGAGCTATCCGTCTTTTTCTGTTGACAAGTTCAGTTTACGACTCACCAGGGCTGCACGATTAATCAAATATTAATCATGATTTTGGCTTCGCACAATGAAGCGAACATGATCGACTGCAGTATTAATATTTAACCGTCGTAACAGTTTCTGCTCTTGTAACATTTTTCACTGCACCTCTGTGGAAACAGCAGGGAAATCAAAAAATGTCTGATGCGCAGTGTGACACAGTTAGGATGCCATGAATCATATGTTACATTTTTTTGAGTATTTATTTTACATATTTAAAAAAAAAACTTGCATCAACATGTTTAATCTCTCTAATTTGAGCCCATACTTGCTCTGTGGAAACACAGCCTGCAGTTCAGCCCAATAGTCTGAATTATTTTCAAATGATTGGCTTCAAAGTTGAGTTGAAGGGTGCAGAATTTTATTTTATTTTATTTTTTACAAAATCTGGTGCAAGTGGTTTATTATTTGTATTTTTTCCCCCCGCCAAATAAGACATGTAAAACTAGGTAATTTTGATGAAAGATCTTAATTTAAGTTCAGATTTGGAACTGCACATTCACCGTCTCAAAGTTTAAAATCTGACGGTTCTTTTTCTTTTTTCAGTTTCTTGCTGTCATAAATGGTGTAATTTGTAAAAATAGCATGCCTTTTAAATCCACTTTTTGGAGCCCAGGGAGCTAAAATCTGTACTGTGCTCCTAGAAAACAGCTTCAAGCTGGTTAAATCTAACGTACGGACGTCTTACTTCACTCCTGTTAAACACATTATTGGTCTGGCTGCAGTAACTGAGTGGAGACGAGAGGCTTCTCTGTGCACAGCATCGACTATAGCCTGCGTGAGACGTTTAGGGAACATCTGTAGATTTGGGTACAATTGTAGCTCTCGGAGATGCACTAAATGAAGATGAAGATTATTTTAAGTCTTATTTTGATGCAGGTTTGTCCATTTGCAGGATTGTAGCGCAACATGGACGTGAAGGTGCAATAAAAACAAATCAGTGGATAATCATGATTATTATTTTGGTCTTAGTCATGCAGCCCCACAACTCAAACACTTCTACATCCAAGTTTGATCTGCAGTTTGAGTCCTAATTGTTTTTCTTGCTCATTAGTTTAGAAAACGGAGGAAACAAACGCGTGTCTGTCTGTGTTGTGACTCTGTTGGGCGTCTGTCGCTGAATCCTTTGGCAGGTAATATAAAGCACCTGCTTAGCTGGAGTGATGGCTGGCACAAATTGTGTGCAGCAGGACACTGTCACATACTATGAAAGCGAATGATTATGAGCTGGAGTGAAAGCACAGTGGGGCAGATTGTGAGCTGGCTGTTTTTTTTTTTTTTGCTTAGTAATAGCTGGTGAGTCATGGTGATAAATGACTCAAGCTGGGAGTTGGCTCTACCGACACCCAGAGACGTGCAAGCTAAAAATGTGGGAGTGGGATTTCACCACACAGAGGGACAAAGGAATCATCGGCTTTCTTTTCTTTTCTTTTTTTTTAAAGTGTGCAAACCCTTCAAAGACGGGGCCTGTCATGTACTGTTCCCCTGCTTCACTCAGCGGTGAGTCACTTCAAGTGCTCGTTATAGCAGCCGTTTAAATATATCCAGAATTCAACGGGATCAGCAGAAAACGGAGGTGGTGGAAAAACTGAAGGGATGGAGGGGGGAGACGGGATCACAGAGAGACGCACGGACAGAGAGGAAGGTATCAGAGGTAGAGTTGAGCGAGATGGAGATGCCTACCTTGAACCTGTTTGTTTGCATGGTGTGATTTCAAAAGCTGTGCCGGAAGAAGCAAATCATATTAACAAAAAAACCAAAACAAAGGAAATGTGCAAACATGTAAGATGTGTACAGGTACTGTGACAGATGGCAAAAAATAAAATGCAAAAATGGGCACATGTGAGCTTCATAGACAGTCAGGCTACTTCAAATTTAGCAAGAAAATTAAGTGCTTGTCTGTAGAATCTCTTACAGCAATTCTGATGGCAGCTTTGAGGAACACTTCCTGCAAAACTAATTAGTTCACATGACTAGTGATACAAACTGCAGTCATCATCTAGGGAAGGACTGAGCCAGAGGACTGCAGCCTGAGTTTCATTTACACTTAAAACTCCAGTAGAGCAAAAGAAGGTCCATAAAGTGATTCTGGTTTGTGCAGGAAGTGGATCTAATGGTGGATTTTAGCAGCTAAGATGGAGAACAGCAGTCCTAGCTGTTGGCTGGCGGCTCATAAATCTCCAGTGTACCGGCGCTGACATTTGAATCGTTAAGTACCTGCTCATTGAACTTCTCCAGTTTCTCCAACTGTTCTCTCTGGTTTTTCTCGAGCTGCTCCATCTCTTTCTGATGCTTCATGGCGAGCTGCAGACAAACAAAACATTTAAATAACGGTTCAAGTCCATAAATATGTACGAACAGAGAGCTTCAAAGCCAGAAAACTAAAAGCACCGTCAGTGTTTCAGGGCTGACTGAGTGCGACCTTCTAATTTTTCTCTCTCTTTTTTTTTAAAAAACTTTTGGTGGAGCTACTACAAAAAAGCAATAATTCCAAGCAAATGTTTTGTTTGAACCACGAGTTCTGTGGCGTTCAGATTGACTTGTTGGTCGAGTTGCTCTCATCTGACTAAATCCTCATCGCTCAGAGGGTCACCAGTGTTCCTTTCATAAGAAGAAAAGTGGCACATCAACAGCCTTCCAGGATGAATCCATTAGTTTTGGTAGAAGGAGGGACAGACTACACATTTTATCACAACTTTGAACTCATCCAACCTAAAGGAGACTGCTAGGTCCAACTTATTTAACCCTTTTTTTTTTGTGGAACATTTACTCTAACAGGTGGCCAAAAAGTTGTGTGTAAAATGTATAAATAACTGTTTATATATTACAGCTCAACAACCAACACGGCAGATCATCTAAAACCAGCAGCGAACTTGTCTGTCTTCAACTTCCCAGTAGCAGTAATATAACTGTATTTTCAGAAAACAGCTGCATGAATTCAGTGTAAAATAACCGCATTAAAAAGATTCAAATTGCCTCAAATACTGGCTTTTTGCATTAACTCATCATTAATTTAGGCTAATGAATCTAGCAGGTACAGTAAGCTTGGTGCACTGTGGTCCATTTAACCACGAGATAATGTGTAGGGTTTTGTTTTTAAATGTAAGATTTTAATCAACCATGTTGTTTTTTTTTTTGTTTCACTGAATCACAAACTAGTTTTGCAAGATGTATTCTGATGCTTGTTGGTGTATTTTTTGTTGCAAATGTCCCCCTGACCTGAGCAGGACAGTCTCTTAAAAGTGAATTATTCAACATCTAATTAAAGTGACAGAATGTTTTTAATGTTGATAATTCATGCTTAGATTCTTTTCTACACAACGGTCATTGAGAAAGGCATCAAAATCAGTACAGTGGTTTTTGTTACAATCAAATGCATGTTCTAGTTGATGCTCAGACTTTTTTTTTTTTTTTTTAGAACATGGGAATGATTCATTGTATTTATACTCTGCTGGAGTACTGACAGCCATCCGAGCATTTGTACACAAACATGACATCTACTGCATGTGTTGTTGTTCTTTTTTTAGCTGAATACTAAAACTAAACTACAAAGCGACCTACCCGCTTCCTCTCGTCCAGGAACTTCTTGGTGTTGCTGCTGTTCAGCTCCCGCACTCTCCTGAAGAGCGACACGAGACAACCGCAGTGTTCAGTAACAATTCAACATTTAACAGCCAACTCAGCTGAATGAGTCCCATCACCTCACCTCTCGCGCTCCGCCTTGTTTTTGATCGTCTTGTCCTGGCTGATGGCTTTACTGTTCTCCATGGACATCTTGGCCTGGTTGGCGCGCATCTCTTTGCTCTGCCTGGATTCAGAAACAAGCAGCCACGTGGTGAAACCTTCACAAGCAGCTTTAATAACAGCGGTAATACTTTCAGGGTTGTTCGCAGTAATTTGTGTAAACTGCTGAATCTGTGTGTGTGTGTGTGTGTGTGTGTGTGTGTGTGTGCGTGCGCGCGTGGGTGGGTGGATCACTGACCGTTCGTGGATGAGTTTGAGCTGCATGGTCTGCTGCTCCTGGACGGTGGCCAGGAGCTTCTTGAGGTGTTCGCACTGCTGGGTGACGTGACTGTCCTTCATCTCCTGCTCCTCGCTGCTGTGACTACTGATCAGCTCCGACCACTCTTTAGTGTGCTGCGCTGTGATGTCCTTTACCTGCACACACACACACACATACACACACACACACAGTTGTCAGGTATTCACAGCTAAGACACAAGTCAACTTTTATGGGAATGGTGCTGCTGTTGCACTACCTTGGCTTTATGATCGGTGTCTAGCGTTTGGATCTTATCTTCTGTCTCCTTCTTCAGCTCTTGGCAGTTGTTTTCTCTGCAAAGACACCACATGTACGTGAGTGACGAGGCTGGGTTCATGTTTCAAAAAGGCCTGTGTTGGGTTTGTGTTTGAATTGTCAGGGCTCCAGAGCGCAACTGGAAATCTGTCAAGAGCGACTAAACATTTTCATCTGGTCGCTCTGCTGCTCCTGACATTTAGCAGGTCTGTGTCTGTCTGGAGTGTTTTGTGTTTTGGCGTGGCAGATTGATGATGGTCTGCTCCGCTGCAGCTGATTCCTGTGTTTCTCTTGGCTGTGAGCTCCTATTGGCTGCTCTGGTAAACTTTGCCCTGCGATTCCACTCACACGTGATTTTCTAGGATGTGCACTGAGTCGCTGCTGATGGTGCTCCAATTTAGCTTCACAATATTGTCTGTAAAAGCTGAGCACTGCATCTGTTTGTGGCATTTGGTCATGCTTGTTTAGCTGTTTTTGCTTTATGAATTACACAGTTTGTCTTTTTTTAAGGGTGCAGTTGACCACAAAAGTCACAGTTTGGATTGTACCACATCTTTTAAATCCCAGATTAAATAGTTTTTCAGCACAGACAGACACTGCCATGATTGTCACTGTCCACATCTGTTGACATTCTTCATTCATGTGAACACACGACTTCAGCTCTGCTTTGAGATTTACAGAATTATTCCACTATTTGTAAGCAGGGTTGTGCAGAAGCTACCTGCTGTGGTCTGGATCACGTTCTTTACACTTGTGAGATAGTTTATTGGCCTTGGCAGAGGACGTGCCTCTCCGAGTGCCCTTCAAGTTACTTTCAAAGTACCAGCAGCAGTAAAACTGTTTACACTGTGATGGTCAAACTTTGTAATTAACCTGCAGTTCACATTTGTGCCGAGTTGCGGGTGAGGATTTGTATCGATTAACTACAGCGTGGTACCCCACTCGTCTTTATGGATGTTTTAATGTCCTTTATACACTTTATTACAGTCTGGTGATGGTGTTAACTTCCATTTGCTTTACTCCTGCTGTCACACAACACTGTTCTATGTAGCTGAGGCTGATGTGATATGTGAGTTAAACCATGTGGGTCACTCTTGGTTCGGGCAGGAGTCAGCAGATTGTTTTAATTAGGATCCAGCCAGTAGCCTCCTGTAGTTATGAGCATCCTGTTGACTGATCAGTAACAAACTCACAACTAGTCCCTGCTGCCAGCCTCTGGTAATATTCTCAGCCTTTTTTTTGTATTAGTCTCCTGAAGGAGGCAGCTTGTTACATGGTGTTTTTTTTTTTTTAATCATTTGTTATAGTCAGGAAACACAGATGACCTCCAAGAGATCACGATGTGTCCTGACATCCTCTTCACAACACAGACGTCTCTCTGTTACACTCATTATTGTATTTGGGGTAAATGGAAAAGTTTGGAGCCCCAGTTTGTAAACGTTAGTCTGGATATGTAAAGTCAAGTCACAGCACATTTAAAACAGTACGTAAAACCCTTTGGCACAACTGCTCATGTGTAGGTATAATAATAATAATAAGTATAATCTTTTTCCAGTAAAAATTAGGTCTGATTTTAATCCCGAATGAACCCCAACTAGTTTAAATACTGGGGTTAGGACTCTGTAGTGTCATTTAAGGTGTGATTTTATCAGACTAATTAACAAACTGGGATTAAAACCCAACAAAATGTTTATAAAATACTACTTTAGTAAATGACATATTAAAGCTGAGATCCTACATTGTTTTAAGTATGAAGAATAACTAATGTAATATGTAGCAAAGAGCCTACAGCATTATTAACTATAGAGATGAACCTTAGTAATTTAAACTAATGTGGTTGGAATCCTCCTTCTGATGCTGTGGTCAGATATCAAGTTTTATTATGATGTCTCTAATATAACAAAATCCAGACTCTGTCACCGAGATCAGAAACAGAAATAGGCAGGTGAAGCCCTCTTGTCTTTTTTTCTCCCTGATTTCTTTCGTCCCCACTCACCCTCGTTTCTTGATGGCTTTCTCTAGTAGTTTCTCCAGAGTCGTCTTCTCCTTGTCATGCAGAGACACCATCTTGTCCACCTGGGTGCAGTGGGCTTTCTGCATTGTGTTTTGATCCTATTGAGGGGAGAAAAAAAAAGAAAAAGCATTTATTATTTATTATTAGTTTTAACCTACATCAAGACTTTATCAAACATTAAGCCGATTTTTCGAAGCAGCAGCAACTAAAAACTGTGATTATTTACTAAATATATTCATATGTTGTTGTCCACACTGAGTCGGCTGCCATATTTATTCAGTCAACAGATGGATCTGGATGCTACTGATATGCATAAGTTACGCAATAGGACTTAACCCTGTGATAATTAATCAGCCGCCATGAATGAGCCACCGTCGTCTCGATGGTGAGCTCTGGTCAAAGGAACTTTAGCAAGTCTAATTTCTTACAACACGTTGATTGTGTGTTTGCATCTGTGTGTGTGTGTTTGTTTGCGATGGACGTTTGTTTGCGTGGTGGAAGATGAAAGGTGTCCCCTCCCTCTTCCTGTGCTTTTTTTTTTTTGCCCTCTGAGCATCAATGACTGTCCAGAATAAGCAGCTGCCTCTTTGCATCAACAACAGACGGATCCGCGCTGAAACAAATCACCCACCTTTGAGTGCTTCTTCTTTAAAGTGTTGAGCTCCTTCTGTTGCTTTTTTATCAGTTTAAGGTAGGTCTGCAGAGGGAGAGACGCTCGCTTTAGTCGTTTTGAACAAGGCATGTTGAGAAAAAGGCTGCACAGTAGTTTATAGGGCTGTAGTGTCCAGTTCGACCGGTCCATTGATTGGTCGACAGGCTTTAATCTGACCAAATTCTCTTTCGTCTAGAAGCACTACATCAACAACTTTCTAGGATTAATCCGTTATTCTGAGCGGCATGTTTTCACAACTGTGAGACTGCGAGGCTTAACTTAATTAATATTTAACGGACACCGTGTCAAAGGAGTCGTCTGTGTGGCTGCATTTTGTCTTGCTGGCCAAAAAGTCGAGCGTAAATTTTGCAGCAATCTGTACATCACAGCTCAACAACCAACCAGGCAGATCATCTAAACACAGCAGCCTAACTGGTCTGTGTTATACTCCTCCGTAGTTATTGTGCTGAATCACCAGTTAATATACTTTTCAGACATGATATAAACATGAGCAGGTGCAGGCTAGACTGTTATTTCAGTATAAAATGATTTAATGTGCTGTAAATACTAGCTTTTTATGTTAATTTGTACTTCATTAGGGCTAATAGGCTAGTAGGTAGAGTGTACTCAAAAGCCAGGTTAATTAATTTACAGATAAAGTGCAGATTTAGTCTGTTCCCTGCCAACAGTCAATTAGTTAAAGAGTATTTATGATTTCAGCTGACCAAGATTTTCTTTAGTTGACTGCAGCCCAAGTACTTCCTTCTATGATGTATTATATGAGTTCATTATGAGGGAAATATTGGCACAGAAGCATAACAACAGCGAAATAATACAAAGTAATTGATGCCTTTTAGTCCTGGCACAGACTTCAACCCTTTTAAAACACAATTCCCTGTATGATGTTGGCTAATCCTTCCTCACACGTCTCTACAGGCTGAACTGCAGCAGCAGCGACACCAACCTTCATTTGTTTTAAGTCATCAATGCTGACGTTAGGCACAAGTGCAGTATCTGAAACAGCAGCGGAAAAAAAAGAGATTTAGTTCTGACACCGTGTACATCCAGCATGTGTTTAACGTGTGTGTTTAAAAGTGAGCTCGTACCCTTCTTGGTTTCGGCTGTGTTGTTTTGGGCAGCGTTGGAGGTCTGGGCCATGTCTGAGCTGGCTTGTGGCGTCACACTGGCCTTCACTGTGTCTCCTTTACCCTTTCCCTTCTTGTCGTTCTTCGAGCTTCCGCTGGGAACGTCTGCTATGTCGTTCTACAACAGAGAGAGGACGGATTTAACTTGAATCGGATGCTGTTTTAATTGTATCACGGCAGTTACATCCCAGTGTTTCTATGACGGCTGCCTCTCCCAAAGGTCGATGCGTTGAAGTATCAGTAGAAATTTACCGATTCGACCCCTGAGGTGGAGTTGTACTCGCTATATCGGCTAAGCCTTTACCTTTAAGGACTGTGTCTTTGTGGGTAAACTGTGTGATGTAGGTCCAGTGTTGTGTGAAGTGTGTGACTGGAGTGTGCAGAAAAAGTAATCTTACAGCACATAGCTGCAGCCACTGAGTGGCACGCTAACGGGGTGATTAATAATCAGCCATAAAGGGTCTTGATGGGCCTAAATCAGTTGCGTACCGTGCTTACTGTTCTAAAAAGAAAGGAAGTAAAAGCCTGGTTCATGCAGCATTACAGCAGTGTGTAACTGTACCTCCTCCTCATCACTGCACATTTAGCCTGGACTGTAAAGCTACCACTAAACCAGCCAGACTCCAGTAAAGTCTTGTGAACGTGATTTGACTGGTGAAGTTCTGATTTAGGGGCGGCCTTAGTTTCTATTAACTCAAACTGTAGCTTGAGGTGTGTGAATGTGTTGTTTACCGTGTCGATTCCCAGAGCCTTCATCTGGTCAGCTCTCTTCTCCGCTATGGTCAAAAACTTCTTTGGGTCTGATAGAGCGTCCACAATAGCTGAAACACAACGAGAGCCGATGGTGAAGTATGAGACAGGAGACAGAGGAGATTTACTGAAAAGCCTGGTGGGTTTTAATAAGTCATCACAGAGTCTGTATTCTGAGAAAGTATATTAGTGAAGACAGGGAAAGAAATTCGCCTCTTGTTTAAACAGAGAATAGGATTTTATTTTGAGCTCTGCGTCTTCTCGGGAAGTGAGTCAGGCGGCAGAGCTTAAAAAGAGAAAGCTAATGGTTACAGCAGTGGCTCCTCAGCGAGAGCCCCTTGGCTTTATTTAATGGCAGCTCCGGTTGTCCTGCTCATTTGTATGCTTGTGCCTGTTTTAACTGTCTATTACTGCAGATTCACTCTCATCATCATTTGCGCCGTGCCATTACTGCGAATGTTAAAACCAACCCTCCCCGGGCAGAGAATAAGCGAGCGGGACAGTTGCCGTTTTTCCCCCCACAGCAGCCACTTTATTATCAGCCATGAATAATCTGTCAGTGTGAAACAAACCTGTAAAACCTCTATTTACACACTGCGGAACATCAAGCAATATACCGTACATACGAAGCTCTGCGTTTCGTGTGTGTGCGTTGCAGTTTTCTCACCTCCGAAGCCGTCGGGCACGTAGGTCTTGAGGATGATTTGGCAGAAGATGGTGGGCAACGACAGGGGCTTGTTGCCTTCGTTCCTCAGAGAGATGTGACGGTAGCCAGCCTGCAGGCCGTCCAGAGGCAGGATGCGCTGCCCAATCAGCTTGTTGTTGTCGTCGTAGACTGCGATGCGCAGCACTGCCAGATCCGGCAAGATCACCTAGAAAGGGAGGGAAGACGGGGAAAAGGTGGTTGGGAGGGAAAAGTTATTAAAGAAATATGGAGAGAGGAACAGAGAGCGGCGAGCAGAAGATCCAGACTGCTGATTCTGCTGAGAAAACGGGTGAATGAGAAACTTGTTGGGAAGACTACGCAGTAAAATGGCCTCTTTTCTGAAGCTAAAGCAGAAACGGCATCATTAAAGGGGAAGGTCAAGGTTGAAACTGCAGGGGACACTATCAGGGGACAGTCACTGTGTGATACAGGGAAACGGCGCGATAGCAGAGCAGCACAGAGCATATCTCAGCACTGACAAGGCCATCTCCACAGCTACTACACATCCAGGGAGTGGAGAATATCTGGTGTGTACGTATATATGTATGTGTGTATGTCTGCAGATGAGCTTCACAAGCTTTGGAAAAAAAAAAAATCTTAACTGGCCTTGTGTGTGGAGATAAGTGAGCAGAGAGGAGGATGATTAATATGAAGACGAAGAGGAAGGTAAGAGATAAGGCTGAAGAATACTCAGTGGAGATGAATGGTGGAGGCACCGCTAGCGTGTACACAATCAGCCCTGCTGGTGTGCTCTGTGTGTCTGTGTGTGTGTGTGTGTGTGTGTGTGTGTGTTGTCGGCTCATGTTGACAGCGGTGTGTGTTCACTGTACATGCCACACGGTGCTCTGTGCTGGTGTTTGAGGGCATTTGTGTGTAATGTGAGCGTTAGCAGCAGCTCTGCTCGTGATGCCCCTGTTTGATAGCACAGTGTAGGTTTGTGTGTGAGCAGAGCAGCACTGCGGCAGGCTGTGATTGATGGTGTGTGTTAGGAAGCTGGAGTCACAGTCATGGCTGAGAGACTTCCTATTCTGCTGAGAGCAGCACTATTACACACTCGGTTCTCCTGTTCTTTGGCTCCCTATCGCCCATCTCTTTCATCCTCCCTTTATTTCTTTCCTCTGTCTCTGTTCTTTTGTTTCTCTCTTCTTTCAGTAGTTCCCTCCTTTCTTTCTTTCTTTCTTTCTTTCTTAGTCTACTGTAGATTTCTAGATTTCATCCCACTTTCTCCCAGATCACTCCAGCAGTTTGTTTTGTCTGATTTTAGATTCTTTTCGAGATTTGAAATAATTTCTCTTTCCCTCTAAGCCTCACCAATCGCTTATTTTTTTCACTGGATTGGGTCAAAATTTGTACTGAACATCCACAGAACTTCTGAGATCATTCTAAACTAAACAGCAGAATGTTGTACAATACTCCAGTTAATTACAATGAATGCATTTCAACCTGAATGATGAATCTTGAATTTTCAGACATGTATACTTCCACTACTTGTCACCTTTGGATTCTGTGCCCTATTACTATACCTCTATCATATCTACAAATGATCTGTGTCATACTACATCTATTCATAGTGCATCTACTTTATACACAATACTATCTATGCAGTATATATTCTCTTTCTCTTCATCCCCAGTTCCTTCTCTAAGGAGAGAACGAGTCGCTCCTCTTGCCACCTGACTTTCAACTCAAATCATGACTTTTAGATCCTCCTCTGGCAGACAGGATGTGGCTACATGCAGCATGTTTTATTGACCGCTGATTCTTTCTCTTCCAGCTACCTTTCTGAAAACGAAGGGCTCTTCATTGTAGGCGGGGTTCAGGCCGTTGTTCATCACCATACGTGTGCGAAACTCCTTCCTGATGGTGTCTGTCGGCAGCCCGTACATGTCCACCTCCACGTAGGTGCCGATCTTCTTATCAGACAGAAACTGTCCCGAGAACACCTGAAGTGAACCAGAGGAGTAACATTATGGATGCTTTACCAAGCTGCAGATTTCACAGCAAAATAATAAAGATAAAAGAAGTACTGAAGTCTGTATATTAAGGATCTTCATCACTTAAGGACTCAAAACTGAAGTTAAGGATGTCAGACGATGTAGAGCTGTAGTTTGAGTCAATTAGTTGCCAACTATTAAATTAATCTCCAACTGTTTTTATAATTGATTAATCAGTTCAAATGTAAATATTTTCTGGTTTTCCTTCCTCTTCTATGACAGTAAATTACTGTTTTTTGGGTTGTGGACAAAATGTTGGGCTTTAAGAAACATTTTTCCCTGTTTTCTGACATTTTACAGACTAAACATGAATAGATTAATGAACACTAAAACTATTTACTTGCAGCCCTACTTTTCATCCAAGAGTCCAAATGGATCTTGTTTTTAGTACTGCTGCGATTGAAAATATCAGAAAATGGTGTGAAGGTGTTTGTTGCTCAAAGCTGGACTGACAAAACTGATGATTGTTGTCTTGAAATTAAATTTTTACTTGCTGCTGTTTGAGTAAAACATATCCTGCTTTGAGATAACTGCCTAAAACATGACGTTATATTCACCAGAATGGATTAGCTTCATGCTAAAATGCTGGTAGTTTGCTTGTATTTATTGGGTTGAAGTGTTTTTCAGGTGTTACCTGTACGCTGCAGGTTGCTGCGATGACGCCATCCACCGGCGTCTCTGAGAAAGGATCGAACATCCTGTCCGACCGCCGCATGAAGTCGGGCTTCAGCAGGTACCTGGCACACATGCACAAGATGCAAACATGAGCAAAATGTACACACAGAGTGCAAATGTGGGACATTATTTGCTAATCTCTCTACTGGGAATAAAGAATGTAGCGTAAAAAGCTCCTCTGTGTGAGTGAACCAGGGCGCCGCCAGAGCAACATTAGTAATGATGGTTGTCTGCAAAAGCCCTGATCCCTCCACATATGAGATGATTTCCAGCATTAGCAGTAAAATCTGTGCCCTCGGGGACAGTATTAGAGCCAGGGGACGGAGACAATGATGGAGAGAGGAAGAGATAGATGACTGCAGAGAGACGAGGAGCTTCCTTCTCCACGGCGCTCATTGGCTCTCGGGGCAGATAGCGGCTACGGTCGCTTCTGGCAACCGCTAATGAGATGTGACAAGCTATAATTGATGAGCTTCAGAGAGGGGCGGAGAAGGGAGGTACAGGACGGCGAGGAATTAGCGAAGGACAGGAGAGAGGAGCTGCTCTCACCCGCAGGAGCCGTTGTACTCAAACTTTCCCTGGTTCAGCTGCATGGCCAGATCTGTTGGACGGCAGGAGAGAGAAAGAGGGAGGAGCTTAGCAACCACATCACAACAGTTCACACAAACACTTAGAAAAGATTCATTTTCAGACGTTTTGTAGATTTCTTTTCTTGTCCGACAGACACGGTGATGGTTTTTCCATTTTCCCCCCACATCTCTGTTTTCCTCCCCTCAAACCATTCATGCCCCAGAAGCTCCACCTCTCGTGTGAACTCCTCACGCCTGCAGCTCTGCACATGTTCCTCTCTCAGCCGGCCATATGGTCCGGCCTGTTTCGCCTCTGGACATGAAGCAGCAGCAGCTGTTCTGCAACAGGCATCACTCACCGTATAGGTGCGTGTTTGAAAATGTGGAAAACTGAGGTGAGTGTGTGTGCAGCCTGATGCTGAAACATGAATGCAAACTACTTACAGAGACACATTTGTATTCAGTCTCATCTGGTGTGAAAGTTTGTGCACATAGTAGAGAATTTAGACTTTTTTTCCTTTACTCAAATTGATGAATCTCTTATGAAAACACTCGGCAGCAGATTTTATCGTTGACAACTGATCCATTAATTGCTGCAGCTCTAATGGCTCGGTACTGGGACTAAGTTTGGGTGAGCCGACTGTTAGAAGTGATATTTTTATTCCAACTTGGCTCTTCATCAAGTCACAGCGTCTCCTTGGTATTCCTGGTTTGTGTGTATTTGCGAGTTGGTTGCGAACGTTGTTGATTAGTGGCTCCGCGTTGAACCGCTGAGCGCGTGCAGAAGACGCTGTCAGCGATGATGTGCGATTATGTGAGGTCAGGGGTTTGCCTCTGAGATCAGACGGCTGCATGTGTGTTTGCAGCATGTATGTGTGAGGTCAGAGGTCCCGTGTTCGTGCTGCGGTACCTGGGGTCTGGAAGTTGAGCGAGACCATCTGGCAGCCTGCGTTCCAGAAGATCTGAGGCATGTAATTACTGGAGTCCACTCGGCCTCCTTTGGGGTAGATACGGCTCATCTGACGCTTGTTGTAGCTGCGTGACGCTCAGGAAAATTAGTTTTATTCAGAAAAAGAAAAAAAGAGAGAGCATGTGTGTGTTCCAGCACATGTGTGTGCATCAAACAGACCGTCGGACTATTTTTAGTGTCAACAGCTTGGGTCAAGCCATCGGAGAGAGAGGCAGGGTGGATGCGAGCGTCGGGCCAAGCTGAAAGCACACGAGGCTCCAGAGGCCTCCAGTTATTTTCCGACAGCAGAGTGGAAACAAATATGGCTGAAAAACATCAGCTCTGACCCGCCGTTCAGCCCTCATTTGGGTGACCTCGATCTGTTAAGTTACAACTCAGATGTGCAGAGTGGATGCGACCGCGAAGACCAGTGGAACTCAGCGGTGACGATCATGACGAAGCATTCAAGGTGTTTCACTTGAAGTTAAATTTATAGTGTTGCAGCACAGTAACGTTAAGATCTTTTCATTTGGTCACCCTCTGGCAACTTTAAGCTGTTTTTCTTACACTGGTGTCACTTCTGTTCCTGTTTCTCAGATAAATCCAGTGCAGCTCTGACTTCATAGCAGTTCAAAGGATACTTGACAAACTCGATGGCATTCGTCTTCAGGTAACCCAGGCCCACGGACTCGTTAAAAGACGACATGTTGTGGTGGATATTCCTCTCTGAAGGTCGGGAGAGACAGAAAAGAAGATTAATTCTGCATTTACACGCTCCTCAGATGGTCGTATTTCACACTTGTGTGTTTTTATGTCCTATAAAGTCACAATTTGAAAAAAACAGGGATGCTATAACTTCTAATAGATGGTTTATATTTTACTGCTCAGACTGTTTAAATACCACGTTGATAGCTGTCTGTTACTGAGACGCCTGAAGGTCAAGGTGAGAAGTTTTTTTGAGGACTACTTTTTTGTTCCCTCACAGTAACTTAACTGCTCCGGAAGAAGGCAGCTGGACTTCCTTTAAAGATGTTGTAGCTGTATGAAGTGGCTTCTTCGATTTATTATCACCCCAACTCACATGAATCAAGGTGTTAATGGTGGTAAAGGCTCGCCAATACGGCATCATTACAGCTAGTAAATAAGTTTCAAACTAATCTAGGACAGCAAGCAGCAAACAGTTACAACCTAATACCATATTGCCAATGAAATGTTCTAAACATGTGGCACTTCCATCTACTTTTGTCCCTCATGGTTCTGTTTCTACGACATCAGCTCAGTACGTCATGTTCCTACATTTTCACCGACTTTCAAAGTTGTTTTGACTTGAGGGGTGTTCAGATGAATTTTACAAGTTGCACATGTTTGTCGGCCACAACATTTTTCCTTTTAACTATTTTAAATATAAATACACCTTCTGCCACGTCGAAACTCTGGAACTTGACGGGCTGTGCATAGTTGACCATAGCTGAGAGATACGGGTGGATGTTGGTGGTGGCTCCTACGTAGGTGTACTGAGCTATGAGAGCCTCCTCAGAGTCTTCTGCCTCGGCCACGTCTCCGCCCTGCACAGCACACAAACACATTTAAATGAGTCCTACAACTCACTGTTACAACAAAACTAAAATCACAGCAGTTCATTCTCGCCTTTTTTTTTTTTCTCTCCCTCTGACAGAACGAGGCGTCCATCTAACCAGACTGAGCTCAGACGGACTCGTGGCTCCTAAACAGTGGTTTTTAGGCTTGTGAGTATGTTTTCAATTCAGGATTTTCATGTGTGCTTCCTACCATGTTGACAAAAATAAATTTGTCAGTGTTGGACACAGTCTCTTGTCAATTTATTTTCAGACACGTGGATCTAGAATCTATCAGCATCAATCAATCCATGATATAGATGGAAAGACAGACTGATGTCCACACATCTGTTCATCTGCCATTGATCGTGGATAGAAAGACAGATACTATCCACACACATCTGTGGATCCATGTATTGATTTTTCCATCCACGATAGATGGACGAGGGATGGATTTATCTGTCATAGATCCACAGACGGCATCAATCTGTAGTAAAGAAATGGAGCTGTACTGAATGGACTTTTCATGCTGGTGTTATGACGGCACTTGTATAAGAACAGGAAGTCCTCTAACCAAACTGTAAGCGCCTATTCATGGCAGAGACATGTATGTTGCTTGTATAAAAACACAACTAATCTAAGAGAAGTATTTTTTGAGTTATTTAGTCGACACCAGAGAAAGCAGGCAGACGTGTACTTGCCTTCTTGTTGTTGTCTTGGTCAGATGCTTCAGAGATGTCTGTGGCATCTGTTGCTTCGGTGGCTTCAGAAATCTCTGTCGCTTCGTCATCGGGTACCTGAAACACAAACAGATAAAAACACATTGAGTATATTTAGTTAATAAAGTGTTTGACATAAAAAGATACTGTTCTAACTTGTTGACGCCATAGAAATCAGAATTTTACCTCTGCTAAAAAACAAACACACCTTAGATTTACAATCATCCATCTACACCAGAAGTCATATGTGAGCTCAGTGGCTGCATGTCTTCATGTCTCCTGATGCATTTGTTTTAATAAACTGATTTGAGCATTATTCTCAGACAACTATTTAACAAATGCCGTGTTTGATTTAGGCGATGCAGGTGAACATCACATCAGTGCGATTGTCTTGTAACATCACCTTCATTTAGCAAATGCTGCAACAAAAACCCAGCTCACCTTCTTGATGCTGTTGCTGCGTTCGTCTTCTTTCCTTGAGCTCACGGCGTTACTCTGAGAGACGCTGTTGGCTTCTTTCTCACTGGTTGCTTCTGACAGACTGCTCGGTGCCTCTGAATTCAAATCCTTCTCCTCTGCCTCTTTTTCTCCTGCAGGTACAGATGGATGAAAAAAAACACTGAAGCACACAGGTCTTCTGCAGATGTGAAGATTCGTACTGCTATTTGGTGAATTCGAACAAGCTTAACAACCTTTTTTGGTCATATTTGGTGGCAATTTTAACTTCTACAAATATGTGAGAAACTTAAAATTCACCAATTGTCACGTGAACACATAGAGTTTACCGTTCTCTGTTTCGTCTTCGTTCTCCTCTCCCATGATGATGGCGGTGGTGTTGGTCTCTCCCGCCTCCATGTGTTTCTTAAAGGCCTCGAGCTGCTCTGTGATGCACAGACGCACGCAAAAGTTAAACACAAAATGGTTTCTACTCATATTATGTTTGAGAATATGAGGTTCAGTACTGACTCTGTTCGACTTCGGGTTTCAAGCGCTTGTTTTTGATGAGGATTTTCCGTTTGAGGTCGTTGGGAGAAGGTAAGGGGCGCGCGGATTCAATCTGTAGACAGAAAATAATCAGACATGTAAATGTGTCTGACTGTATCCAGCTGTAAGAAAAGAACTGCTTCAGAAAGAGAAAACTTACAGGAAAGTTGTCTAGAGGCTGTTTGAGGAGGAAGTCGCCGAAGATCTCCTCGCAGTACTTGGCCATTTTGTACTGCTGTGGTTTACTAGTAAAACACACACAAAAAAACACTCATGTATTGTGTCTGGATATGAACAAAACCATCCTACAAATAAGATAAAGTTGTTTTTAAACTGCACATCTACCTGCAATGATTTTCAAAAGACAAAATAACGGGGTACTCTGATGTGACGAATGCCGTCTCCTTGATGGCCTGAATAACATCCTGTGATAAGAGAAGAAGAAGAAGAATTGGGAAGCCATGATAGATGCAGTACCCTAGTCTCAACACACGGGGGCAGCGTACATTATGAAGTAACATTCAGACAGGTGAGACAGACTGGATGTACTGTCGTGCTGCTGCGTGTGTTCACCTTGAACAGGATGTCTGTGCACATGGCCTTTCCGTGAGTGATGATGGGCTCCTGGTCCTCTCCTTTACCGTCCCAGCAGTCGAGCTCCACGCACCTGATGGAAGACAGAAATCTCACTGATGGACCCTTAACATGAAACACAACCACACACGAATTCCGCCGTGTCCTAGATTAAAAGAAAGGTTCAATTAAGATCTTCCTTAGAATTTTTACAGAGAGAGAGGCTTCATCCATGTCTGGGAAACTAAACTGAGCTTCAGCTTATCCACATATCATTGTTATACCAGGAGCTGTATTTCTCATGTGGTGTACACTTGTGAACTAACGTATACACTTACACAGACCATCGTGACAGTCTTGTGTTTCCAGTGACTCCTATAACTGAATTTTCTATGATGGACTGGACTCTATGAAACCCATGCACCTTTGTCAAAAGGCCAAACACACATCAAAACTGGTGAAGAAATGTCTAAATGAGGCTTGAATTCAGGCTTTTTTTGGACTAGTCTCCCCGAGGTCCTGACTTAAACAATATCAGGAACCTGCTGACTGTGATGAAGAAACAAATCTGTCAGAAAGCCAACAAATGTAGTTAAACTGCACTAATTCTGTTAAGAGGAGGGTCAAAGATACAACCTGAAGCTACCAAAAGCAGCTAACTGTGGTGAAAATCTAGAGACATTTACCCAAATATCAGAACTTCTGTATGTATATTTCAGGGGTGGGACTTTAACGCGTTAGTTAACAAAAAAGTAACGCGTTTAAGTTCAACCCCTAATATACTTTAAAGCGTTAATTACAATTAATTAATTACAACAAAAATAATGCGTTAAAAAAATTAACGCATTTAATTGCATTTTGCTTCCAGGTACACAGAACGTTTGTCAGAGCCCGATTTCATGGTCCACCAATCACATGGTGCACAAGATGCATCAGCGCTACGCTAACGACAACAAACATGGAGGAATCCAATGAGAGTGCATTGCTTGGACTGATTGAGGGCAAGTTTCATTTTAAAAAACTGCCTGATGGAAGCCTTGATAAGAGCGTGGTTTTGTGCAACTTGTGCAAAAAAGAATATGCATCCCACCGAAGCACATCGAGCTGACTGTACCACATGTTGCATCGAGCACAGAAACCGCCGGAGCTGTTAGCGCTAGCAGTCCTGGATAGTGACAAATATTTTTTAACGCGTTATTTTTGTTGTAATTAATTAATCGTAAGTAATGTGTTAAAGTCCCACCCCTAGTATGTCTCTGACGCAGCAGATGAAGTCATATTTCCAGAAGACACATAATAAATCTTTGACAGAACCAGTTTTTTGTGCAAGAGACGAGCGTGCTTCAGTCGTTCCAGCACAGATCATTCAGAGCTGTCATTGGAAACGCAAGACTGCCGCGAGACATGACCGTTAAAAGTCTACGCAAACTTTGTTTCTCAACTGTAATTTGTTTTCTGATCAATATCTGCCAAAAGAATTGTATTCAGGATTAATAACATTTTATCTCATTTGTGCAAAGACAAAGCTTCTGTGAAACAAAGTGTAACTGTGATTTATGGCTTGTTATATGTTACAGAGAGCAGTTCCTATACTTATGTTTAAAGTCTGGTGTGTTGCCCCTTCAGCAGACATCAACACTCCTGCGTACCTGCACCCGGACAGCAGCACCTGCCGGTACATCTCCACCGAGGACTTCCCTCCGAACTGTCGGCCGGTCAGGTAGGTGTTGTGGGAGGAGCTGATGAAGTAGTGGGCCAGAGGCTGGTCCATTTCCTGGTACAGCTCCAGCCGGTCCAGGAACACCGGAGCGTTTTCGTCTGACATCAGGTACCGGCAGAATCCATCACTGGACATGTGACCTGGAAGTATGAATTTTATCCAGAGCCCAGAAAGTGGTATTAAATAGGGCTGCATTTAAAGATTATTTCCATTGTTGATCAGTCTGTTGATGAATGTTTAATCGATTGATCAATTACTAGTTTGGTCTCTAAAATATCAGAAAGTGGTGAAAAGTATCAATCAGTGTTTGTCCACAAGCCAAATATATTCAGTTTTCTGTCACAAAGGAGGAAAGAAACCAGAAAATATTTAAACTTAATGAGCAAAAATTAAAAGAGTTTGGATTTTTGTTCTTTAAAAATGACTCCAAGTGATTATTTTCCAAAGTAGTGGACGACTGATTTAATATTTGACAACTAATATATACATAAATATATCAATGCATTTGTTTCAGCTGCAGTATTAAAACACTGAAGCAACTAGAACCAAATTATTTGTATGTATGAATTAAAATCAAACTTGAATATAAAACGCTGGCTATTAAACTGGACTGTTGTCATTAAATGAAGTCGACGCTGTGTTTGCTAACGTGTTTATACGCTTTAATAATCTGTAATGTCCAGTCAACTCAGCATTAGTCTTTAAAAAGTATTCATAATTAATGAAGCTATAATTTAAAGCGATAATGCAGCATGTGCAGGTTTCGGCTCATTTATTATTGAGCATCACTGTGAGGCTGCATCAAAAAGGCCTGTTACTGCAAAGTGATGTATGTGGGTTTAGTAATGAGCAGCACTGTCTGGACAACCGTTGGTCAATTTGTCATGATGGCAAGAAAAATAAAAATACGACAGAAGCTTCAATAAAAGCTTATTTCAACAGAAAACCAATGTGGTGTGACGCTGCAGCTTCACGGTTTCACAGACAGATGGCAGCAGAGCCTTAAACATCCTGCGTCCCTCCACACATTTCTGGGCATTTTCTTTTGTTTTTGTTTTTTACCTTTCTTCTTGAGGCCATCGTCTCTCTCGTACTTCTCGATGATCTGCATGGCTCTCTTTGGGTCGTAGAACGGAAACAGAATCTCGTTCAGTCTCGGGTCGCGCTGGTTCTGTGGAGCGACACGCAAAACACTCAGTGATCCGACCACAAAGGGGTCTGCGGCTGATTCAGAACACGAACCGGAAACAAACGGGTCTGACAGCGACACACAGGACAGGGGACGAATTAATGCGTAACGTGGTTCTGACCTCTGATCATCTGTAATGTCTGCTGGCAGATGTTTAACTCTGTTTTGATGCTTTTTACCGTTTAAGGTGAGACACTGCAGACAAAAACGCTGTTTCTTTGCGCACTGATGAGTTTTGAGATTCCACAACACGTCTTCATTCAAAGTAAATCAAAGAAAACATCCAAAATGCACATGTAGGTGTTTTTCTTTTTCTAGTCCTACTACACATTATCTATTAGAAACCAATGCAAATGTGTGCATCCTTAATGAGATCATATTTAAACATAACATTATAAAAAGTAACTGAAACCAATTGACTGGAGACGCTTCATGTTGACGTGTTTACTGTTCTCAGTCTTTCTTTAAACGCTGAGTCAGAAATCTTCACTTCAGTAAAAGTTAGATCCACCAAACTTTCCAGTTTTATTCCAATCTATATTCTGGAGTTTGCTTTTTTTTTTTACAAAAAGGTTTGCTCATAAATCATCCATAACCTGATTTATCGAACATTTTATCCATCAAAAAAAGAGAGAAATTGGATTTTTTCCTCCCTGGTTGTTGACAGCATTTTCTGATTTATGGAGTCATAAAAAGAAATAGAATCTCCTCAGTGAAACCTTTAACCCCAAACTTTTTAAACTGACTTGAACTAGTCTTTAGGCTTTAATTTTATCGTGGCAGGATGCAGAATGCCTCATTTGCATATTTAGACACAAATTCAAAAAACTATTCTCTTACTGTAAGTAATCGACGGGGGAAGTTTAATGGTGATATCTAGAAATTTTAGAAATCTAACCCTAAACATGGAACTTTCCAGGTGCAATGTTTTCATTTCTATTCTCAAGGATTTTACAGAGAAGTTTGTTCATAGATCATTCATAACTGGATTTATGGAACGCTGTATTCCTAAAAACTTGGTGAAAATTGATTTATTTTTTTGGACTGTTGACACTATTTTCTGAATATGGAGTGATAAGATGAGAACTGGTTCTCAAACATTTCTACCTGGCAAAATAAAGGTCAGATCAAAAAATAAATAAATAAATAAAAGAAATATGTACAAAACTATCAACAAAACAACAATAATTAGAACCTGGCTTTATCTAATGTTCAGGTTTCTGTTCTAATAATGTCTGCGACTTAAAGCAATTTGTTGTTGGTTTAGTTGTCAGCTATTAATTTATATTGGTCACTTTGAGCATAAAAAACAGTCTAAATTCTGATTCCAGCTTCTTAAACTTGAGTATTTTCTGGTTTCTTTCCTCCTCTATGACAGTAAACTGAATATATTTTTATAGACCAAACGTTTACCCTGCAAAATGTAAAACTACCGCCACGAATGTATATGTTTTTTTTTCTGTTAAATTTCAGTGACAGTATGTATTATGAGTGGCTGTTAGAATTTGACTTCATCAGAAGAGTCAATCTGTGACACACTGGTGTGTAACACTAACTATTGTCTTTTTTTTTTCCAGCGTTAACTTCTAATGACTCAACACAGCATCACCAAACATTTAGATGTGACTCAATGCTGAATCAGAAGAGTAAAAGATCAACGCATGTTCATACAAAATGAACAGAGTTAATGAACTTGCTGGTAGCTTCAAATGACACTTTACAGCGTTGGTGAATGTTTTACTGTATTAAGAGTTAATTCAACACTGATTCTGAATGAGACCAAACACACCAGAAAGTTTAACCCTTAAAGTGTTGCTTTTACACGGTTTGATCTGCTGTGGACGTTTAGCCACCACAGACACCATGTGACGCTCTGAATGAGCCTCTCATGAAGTTGCCTAGCAACAAGGGTTCCACCATTTGAAATGCTTTGAGCAGAGAACAATTAGGGTTCTCATTATGATGTCACTTGATGACGTCATGTGAAGCCTCTGCGGCTATAAAACAGGACACCAAGAGGAAGAAGTCATTCCAAGAACCTCACAGCTCTGCTCAGGTTGAGTTCAGCATCAGCAACAGTATCAACCATCAACCCTGTCTATGATTTCTGACTGTTCGATGTCCCAACGAGGCAACGCAACACCCAGAGGAGGATTTGGGCGATGACAGCAACAGGAGGAGGCCTCAGAGGAGGTGGACATTTATCAGCTCAACATCCGAACTGGAAGTTTGGAGCAGAACAAAGAAGAAAAGCTGGTTGACAGTCATCAGACCAGCTAGGAGGAAGTTCCTGTTCTCCATCTCCACCTGCTCTGAGACTCACCTGTCCTCCTTCTGTAACCCTCCTTTCTCTCTTCCCTTCTCCCCCTTTCACTCCTCTCACCCCCTTTTTCTCCTTTCACCCCTTTCTTCTCCTCTCTCCATCTTCTCCCTCTTTCTCTCCCTCATCTTCAATCTCGATTACTCCTCTCTCCTTCATCTTCTCTCCCTTTCACCCCTCTCTCCCCCTATCTTCTCCCCCTCTACTATTGTCCATAAACAACTAAAAGTCAAATAATCAAAAGAAAACAGATTTCTGCACGTGTCTGGTTCTGCTGAGTTCACTACGACTGCAGCACATTCTGACTGCTGGTTGCTGACGTTGTACCAAAACGTGGCTCTAATTTCAACAGGACTGAAGGTTTCTGAAGGTCAAACAGATATTTGATCTGCAGGAAAAGTGTAAGAGTGTAAAAAATGTACAAAGTAAACAAAATGCATTCTAAAAAAACAAGTTGTAAAAAAATATACTTGGTACAAAAATGTAAAAATAAACAAGAAGAGAAAACCTTCTTTACATGTCCCATAGAAAACTTTGTTGATGCAACTGCAGCTTAAACTGTTTGTCACATCGTTCACATGTTCACTGTGGGTGCTGCTAGTGATGGTTTTTATCAGTTTGTCCCTTGTGTGCATCAGTGAGTCTTTTCTTTAGTCACTGAAACGCGTTCAGTAGAGAACAAGTAGGATTCTAGAGCGCTGCTGTTCCTGATTTTACCCAGAAATCAAACATTTCCGTGTATGTTTTTTGCTTATTTCCGCATCTATACGTCCGATTCACCCTATAATTAATAAACAGTGAAAACAATCATTAATTGCGTCCCTATTTTAGATCTAAAATGTGAATATTTAAACATAAAATTTAAGAAAACCTGAAGAGAACCTAAACAATTGTCTTGATGGAAGTAATCAACTGGAAGGGTTTTATGTTGATATTTATTAGTTAAGCATTTCATCTGCAGTGTCTCCCCTTAAAGGTGTTATATATAAATGATGTATATATATTTAGGCAGAAGATATTTAAAGCCTTCATTTCGTTCCTAACTTGTTTTCTTAAGTCAGTGGATCTGTTTTCAGTATTATCGTGGCCTTCAACAGAGAGCATGTAGGTCACAGCAACTGTGAATCACACTAACAGGTGCAGCGTTTAAACGCCGCTTCAAAAGCAAAGGAAGTCGTGCGTTGGAACAAAACAACAGCATCACTGCAGAGGCGCTGCCCACTCGCCAAGCACAGGTGGAGGAATTAATCTGATTGGAGGCGTGAAGCGGCGGCACACGTGACGAGGCAGGTAGGACAACACGGCGAAACCACGGCCACAAACGACAGAGACGCAGCAGGAAACGAGGCGGAACCAACCAGGAAGCAACGGGATGGAGGAGGGAAAAAAAAAATACTCTCAGGTTGCTATGGCAACACCAATCAGACACAAGGAGAGGGCAGACGGGACGTGAGGAAATGGGATGAGGGTCGGACATGCAGAACAGGAGGGGAGGCAGGTGGAAGTTGCCCCCGCAGCCTCACTGGTGGAGCTTCAATGAGGGTCGGAGGGGCAACTTTCTACCAGGGGCAGGAGGGCAGTAAAGCAAAGAGGGGGAGGGGGCAGGTAGCAGAGCAGGCTCAAGCCAAATACACAGAGAAGTTAATGTAAAGAGCTTACTTCATTCAGAAAGCTGACTAACTGGTCTACAGTTAAATAATCAGTTTTGTTCCCATTGCTGCAAAGGAATTAATTAGGAAAAAAAAAACAAAACAACAAGACGTTACGCTTCTTAAAATAGAAAAACTCTCACAGTCATTCACACACAGTTAAAATTAGACAAGCAGTCCTCAACTTTTCACATGTTAATCATCACTCTATTTTCAATGTTGTCATTAGGTTGAACGTAATTAATGTCGAACTGTGGAAGCAGGTTAGGCCGTCCAGACGTAGTTAGTGCAGCAGGCGCAGAAACATTTTGTCCTGATTATTTCCAACACGATGCAGCAGCTCGTCGCTCATCGGGGAATATCTCAACAGTTGTGTTTAGCTACACAGGTACAGTTCAACGCCGGGGTACTGCTGTTAAGATTTATCACTATTTCTGAGGTGCACAATCAGCAAACATGGGGATCATCGTGTAGAGAAGAACGCAGGCAGGTTTGGAAAAAAACAAAACAAAAAAACAGGAAACTCACATTTTCTTGAAGAGCTCCTCTATGTCCGTGCGAGGGCAGATCTTCTGTGTGAGCGCGTAGAAAATGTCGAAGGTGAAATCTGAATGTTCGATCTCATCATTCTGTGGATGAGGGAAAAAAAGAAAGTTGTTTACTTATCCTCACTAACAGAAAAAGATTTAGTAAGTCACAATACACATAGAGTATCAAATGTAGTGTGCAAAAAAATACCCAGATGTTCTCCCACATCTGGCTTTTCTGACCCACAATCCTTTGTGCAGTTACATCACAGTGTATAAACCAGTTTAAGCCACAAACAGGTGAAAGCTGATTTTGCATTACAGGCTGCTCAAGTTTAAGGCAAAGTAGTTTGTCCCAGTTATGCTGCATGAAACAGTACGTACTTTCTTATTCATCAAGTAGTTATATGTATATGTATTTATAACACTGACTTAATTATGTAAATACATATTGTGGGGGCATCAGAAAATGATTTTAGCTCCAGGGCTGAGAGAGAAAGTAATAAGGACCACGACACTGTTAACACTGCGCTACATAACCGAGAAATACAAAACCACGGCTCATAATGAGGCTTTGAAATCTAAATGCTACAAGTTTACGCTCAAAGTGAGCCTCAGCGATATCAGCAGAAGTGATAATGATTCTGAATGTGTCAGAAAAAAAGAAAAAAGAAAAACAGCAAGCAGACTGTCAGACATCTTGCTAATAAGCCTCATCACGTAGTTCACCTCAGGTCAACACAGGCAGCTGCACTTCAGGACGTTATCCCAGAAACTACAAGCCGTTTTCCACTGCAGGAAGTTAAAGGGCTTTTTAGGGCGGCCTGAAATTTTGTGTATGTTGTGTGTTCTAACTGCAAGCATCATTTTTCTGTCCTCTCTCCTCTGTAACGTCTCCATCAACAATGTAAACTTCACCATACACGCTAAGAAAACAAACCCTTTACTGTCCTTTTTCCTACAGAAACTGGAGTTACGTCTATTTTTTGGTGCACTGAGTTCATGTTTTGGTCGAAGCTGCTGAATTCTACACGACGACAGAAAACCTGAGAGGGTTGTTTAGAGCCGGACAACCTCTCTGGCTGAATCCCTGAGTTTGGATGCCCCCTTCTTGGGTTCATCCTCGAAAAGATGGCACACTTTGGATTTCCTGTTGACATATATAATCACTATCTAATGACCTCAGGAACCAGCTGTGTTAGGTATCATGTCTATGACTGATTGAAGCTGTGTTTTCATGTAACTGTTGAGTGAATTCGAAGCAAACTTTTGAAATGTTGCAAAAAATGTAGTTTATATTAAGCTAGTTTCCGTTTTTTTTTTTTTTCCCCCAGTTTTAGAGGGAATAAATTAGGCTGCATGCTAACACACAAAGGTGGTGGTATTCACTATGCTATGAATGGCTGTAATATACAGACTAGAAAGAGCCAGAAACAAATGTACTCTTACCAAAAAATAAATAAAATTAGAAGGAACAAACAAAACTTTCTCCATCTATGAGAGAAAAATGTAGAGAATTCTCCAGGAATTGCTTGTGGTGGGTGATTTGTTCTTATTCTTTCAGGTCATCTGGCATCAGCATGTTTCATGTTGTTTGGAGACGAACACAATGAAACTAGTCGTGAGTTAAACGTCACAAAAATCTCTGCTTACATAATTTTTTTTTTTTCTTTTTTTAAAAAAAGTCAAAAAGCCACTCCAAACAAGTGTACAAACTTCAAATTGGAGAAGTTTTACTTTAATTTTGTTGTCTCCATTAAATTTTCTTATGCAAGACTTCAACAGGCAGATTTTTCCAGTGATTAAACAGCAAGTCAGAACTCAGCTGATAAAGACTCCCCTCCTCGGCTAACATTTAATTGACTTTTACAGATTGAACAGATGCATCAGACTGTATCTGACCTTTCCACTAGGAAGTCCCAGATCCTTCAGAGCCTGAAAGATCCCCTTCTCCGTCTTCCCTGATGCAAATGTTCGTGTAATGCTGTAAATGAGAAAGAGAGAAACAAAGGAAGGTGAAGAGGAGCTAATCAGAGTGCTGTGAAATGAATGAAAGCAGGAAGAAAAGGCAACGCTCACCCTCTGACAGGAATCTTTCCATTTACATTGGTCAGGAAACACATTCTCATCCAACTGAACAAGGAAGAAAACTCAGATTAGAGAAAGATCAAAGACAACAAAACAACCTAAAATTATGTTTTTGAACTTATAAGCTGTATAGAAGGTGTATGAAGCAGGTAATTACAGCAAGCAGGGAGCGTGCTGGGAAATCTACTCACTGTTTCTTCAGGCATGTCATTGGACAGACGTTGTTGGCCTTAAAGTTGTGAATCACTGACCTCAAACCCTCGATCCACTTCTGCAAACAAACAAGCACAGATATTCAGGACACACACACACACACACATTCCTGTTCCCTAAAACCACTGACCAACATACGCAGCAGGGAAACGTGGGTCCAGTCTGCATTGTGTTTCAGAGTGCTTGTCTTCGGGGAAATAAACACGAGTGAATGAATCGCCTCTTAATTCACACACGTGGACGAGCGTGTTGACAGAACACATGAAAGCATATGACATAACAAACAAACAAACAAACACAGTGAGCCGCTGCAAGGCTGCAGGCAGCGACAATAAACAAATAGCTGGAGGCGGCCTTGTAAGTGGCATGAATACGCTGCCTGACGCATCGACAGAAACGTGGAGGACGAGAATCTGAACAACTTTGAATGAGGGTCCAAATTTAACAGATAGTCATCCACATTTAAATCAATAATCAGATAATGAATAGAATGAATACAGTAGATGTTTTTTTTCCATATGGTGATCATCTGTAACCTCTGACACTTTAATAAAATCAGTTCAGTTCCATGAGGACTTTAAAGAACACAAAGTAAACATCAGGTTAGTGAATTATAAGTGAGAGCAAAAAAATAAAGACTTCTATTTCGATTTCTATTCAACAATTGACTCAACAAAATCAGAAGTTTTGAACGCAGTGAACAAGCTGCAGTCTTTAACGTTATTAATCTCTTCACAGCAGTTTGATATCAGAATATTCTTCATATCCGATCGACACGATGGAGCAACTTGTTCACCGTAATTAATCCTGCTGCTCTGCTCCAACTGATGCCCACAAATATTATCGCAGCAACTTTATCAGTCTTTCTGTATTTACTGCAACCTTTGATATGTGTTCATATTTACTGACACACTTTAATGTCGTCAGATGCATCAGCTGCTTTCTGCTGACAGACACTCAGCTCCCAACCTGCATTTGTACATCCTAGCTTAGCTTAGCATAAGCCTCAGGTGGCTACCTAAACCAGACGCCAACCAGCAGACACTTTTCCACAACTTGCTGCAGAGTTCATCAACACGACTGCAACAGTTGGCAGTTAAAAAGCAGGGAGGTGCGCTTGTTTCGTCCGACCCGTCATGGGTGGTCAGACACACCAGTAACTCCGTCTTATTAAATAGTAAGAGGCTTCAGCAGGTGGCACGATCAGTTTCTACAGCAAAGCTACAAAACACTACCTGACAGATTAAGTGAAAAGTCTTTCTTTTCTGGCCTTGTTCATTAAGCCTCTGAACTCCAGGCAGTGTTTCTTTTTTGCTCCTGTCACATTTTTACTCACTGTGGGCTCAGTTTTTACCGCAATATAAAGTCCTACACGTCTATGGAAACAGAACAACCATGACTAGAAGGTAAGAACACTCAAAAATGTCATTCGTGCAGCATAACAAAGCTAGAACCATGGAAAAATGAAGAAATGACATTTTAACTCACAAGGATTATCAGGACGAGAAAAAGCATGTGGGCTCTACCTACTACAGATATTTTACCATTTACATTTTTCATTTGTTTT